ATGGCGGTGTTGCTTCCGCCACGGCCGGCGTGGCTGCCGTGGCCTGCTTCAGTTGCCCGGGCTTGTTGAAGCTTACGCTCAGGGTTTGGGGTAGACGCGTGATGGGGGTTATAGGTCCTGTAATGAAGGTAAGTGCATTTACTAATTCAAAAGATCAGTAGTCCTATAGGTATACAACCACCCAAAGGTGTAGCTTTATCTCCTTCAACTTATTTGACAAGTTGTGTTCTAGGGTTAGGGATTAGGGTTGAGCAAACACTCCTGAAACCCAAAACTCGCACGAGAAGGGTTTCGAGCAGGCGAACCCACATCGTCCGCTTCTGAAATGGCAGTAGCCTTTGTAGAGACTGGCTAGGGGTCGCCTAACACCCTACATCTTAGAACCTTTGAGTTGTGAGGAGTGTAGGACCCTGGGATGTGGGGCTTGGGATGTGAATTTGCTGGTCGCCCAGCAATCATGGGCTTTTATGGGGTTGCTGTTAAGGAACTTGAATGAAGTTACCATAACATGGGTATGTGGTGACTAAAATGGTTTCTTTGTAACTCATAATGGCTTACCTAAGTCAGCAACTGGCACGCCAAATTGGGGGTGCAAAGTTTCGTGTGTTCAGCCCTGAAGCCCAAAGGCTAAATCCCGTCAACACCGCTAGCCGCTAGACCTAAAAAAGTCCAAAGGCCCACGCCCCTGAAATCAAATGTTAGCACATGCCAAACCAAGTATTTTCAACGTCAAAACCGTTCAAGCCAATGTCAACTAGATCTCTACCTCCCGCCGTGTTTTAAAGATCTTGTATCGCAGGGACTACGGTAATTTCCGCAAGCAGTGCAAGAACCCAACCACCGTAAGAGGTCCCCTTTGGGCCCATGGAATTCTGTGCTACCATCTCGGTAGTGCAAAACCCCAAGTGATAACCAGGTAACACTCTCAGTCCTTGATATTGCCATTACAGATAACACCCGACCCTAAACCCTAAACCCTGAATCCTACCTATCCCCAACGGTCAGTCCCAGGGCCACCCCCGTCGTTCATGTATTTTTTTCAGTTAATTCTTTCTTCTTCCACGCCCTTACCCTTAAACAATCCGGTAATTTCTAAAGCTTAAGCCCTCAACCACAAATCCTAGACCTTAAATCCTAAACCCTAAAACCCTCAACCCGAGACCCTAAATCCCTAACCCATGAACCCTACACCCTAAACCCTCAACCCTAAACCGTACCTGTGCCACAATCAGGCTGGGCACATCTGGCTGCCGAAGAAGGCGAGGAACAGCAACCTTTGGCCTTGCAGGCCAACCAGGACCGCTTGGGTTGACGGTTTGGGGTTTAGGGTTTAGGGTTTGTGGTTTCGGGTTTAGGGTTTAAGGTTTAGGGTTTAGGGCTTATAGCTAACCAACAAAAAGGGTTTAGGGTTGAGCATATGTAGGGCTTAGGGTCTAGACCTTGGGATTTAGGGGGTCCGGGCTGGAGATGTAGGACTTAGGGTTTAGGTTTCAGGGTTTAGGGTCCAGGGGGGACGAGAGTGGAGGGTTCAGCGGAGGCTTAAGACAAGCGAAAGTTAAAAATATATATATATATATGCACATATATATTGGATATTTATGTATATATGTATGATGCAAACCCAAGTATAAGCCCCTTAAGTACCCTTATAGGCTTATCACTGTTTACGTGTACAGTTGCAAGTATGTTTCAATTACCCCAACCCTCCAAGTACAGCTTGTGGCTTCGGGCACTAGACCCGAAACCCTAAATCGTCGTTCTTCGGCACTTAATTACCTTGGGATTCTGCAGGGTTGAAGTGGGTTTAGGGTTTAGGGTTGGGGGGGGAATGCCCGGGCCCAACATGGATCAACTGGGGAGGGGGGGATAATGGAAAAGAAAATGGAAACTACTACAATATAGGGGAGGGAAGCCGGGCTGCTACGACACGCAATCCAGATCTCCATAAGAAGGTTTCCGAACCTTGTCAAAGGTTGTGTTCTACTACCATTGTTCACGGATTCGACAGACTTGCCAGCATTTTTTTAACTTGGACACGACGTTTGTTCAGCAAATCATACGCAAGCTCCGTTCATTTGCCATGGTACCTTGGCCAAGAAGAAACACGAGCCTCAGCACCCTTTCATGCCAACGAACTAAGGACGGTCGAATCATCTGGACACATGACATCAGCCGCGAAGCCATTTTTAGCAACGGTTCCCATGTGTACCAGTGGCTTGAGGCAGCGGGGGAGAGCTGGCAACACTAAACGCATCAATTTCTCGACACAGGGGCCAAATGAAGAGTGGTGCCTCTTCAATGTCGACTGGCTGATTTTTGACGATGAGGAGGGATGCTGGCTCCGGAAGTGGATCCAAGGCACCTCGCATGCATCAGATACGATATCCTGAAGTTGCTTTCCTTTTTGGTGTATCTCGACAAGGAATCCCGTCACGTGAAGCCCCATTCTCTCTTCCCCTGGAGGCCGCCTCCTGGCTGCATTTTACAGCATCGTCGCACATGTCGACTTTCCTCCTGCTAGCTTTACTGAGATTCGACAGCGCCGCAAATCGCGTATGCCAGCTGAGCCGGAGCAAGAGCCCGAGCATGTCGCTCGGCCTCGCTGAGTAAACTTTTAGCATTGTCAAGCATCACGCAACGAGTCCTGACCCAGGAAGGCGAGATCACAGACGAGGAAGTGTGGGATTGTTACTCGCCAGCAACATGCACATGAGGGTCCATCTCCAGCATACCCATTCCCGCATGAACCCAGGCTGAGCCTTGGCAGCGCAGCCAACCAGCGGGAGTGGTGTGCCACGCTATAAAAGACAAAGGTTGCGTGCAGGGTGGAATATGGGCAGCTGATGCGAAGGGCCCCCACCCCTCCAACAAGATGCACGCCATCGTCTGGAAGTAGGGCCTCACCATGGAACGTCAGACTATCTAGCAAGTACTTGATTCGGAGTGGAAGCCCAAAGATTTAGAATCAGTTGTCCCGCACTGCCATAATCGACAAGAGCGGATGGAGTCAAGCGAGGTCGAGTAGATGGGCGAAGTACAGAAGTCGAGATGAGGTCAGCATTGACAGAGATACTAGAGTTTGGACTACGGATCAAACTCTACACCCTGCCAAAGCCTAAACCCTAAACTCGGATGCCTGCAGCATCACCGTTCAAAGAAAACCTCGCCCAGCTGATTGTTGCGGATTTCATTTCAAGTTGACAGCAGAGCCATGGCCGAGAGCTAAACAAAAAAACATTCATACAGACGTTTGGCCCAAAAATCATCCAAACCGTTCCTTCCTCCGGCAAAAATCCCTCAGCGACCGATGTTTGAAGAATATACGTCGGAGGAGCTGGCCGCCACTCAACTGCAAGGAAGCTTGTAGCAGTCCATGCATCTCTGTGCAACCGTTTCTTCTAAGATCATCAACGCTTGCCATTTCGTCCGCGACCCGGACAATGGCAGAGTGTACTGCGCCTGGCTCAAGGACCGTAAGGATAAGGTGTCAAGCCTTCATGAGATTTTTCAAAAACGTGTCTGAAGCAGTTTAAGTCAGGACCGGGCAGTGGAGGCTCTTCAGCATGTGTGACCTGGTCCACCTTCACGACCTTGACACCCAGCCGCCGCTTGGCCGCAAGACACACACTGAGAGACAGAGAGACAAACAGAGACAGAGAGTGAGAGAGAGACGTCTGCCTCCGCCCTGGCGATGATCTACGGCGCCCACCTGGAGCACGCGGAGGACGTCTCCATTGACGTGGTGGAAGAGCTGGATCAGTTCCTGTACGGGGTCAACCTGATCAGCTGTGCCTGGGCCGCATCAGGGCGATGGGAGGGCTCGCGGATTTGAGTCATACCTGACGATCTATGGCTGATGGACGAAATCTTGCACCACTTACCTGGAGGTTCAGGGTAATTTAGCATGAAGATCTACTAACAGCTATGCTTAGAACTTATAAGCCAACTATAACACTACCATCGGACGTACGGGCATATAATTGAGTTATCGGTGCAGTTATGCGTAGGTGATAGTTACCTGGAACCTGCAAGAAGAGCCCTAACCTAGCCTAGGACTGCAGGCAAGGGTTTCCTAAGCCCTCAACCGTTTCGTTTTTAGGTGGCCAGGCTCTACGGCTAGAGCCCCCGAGCTACTAGGTAACCACGCTTGCTAGCAGTTCGGGGAATATACTTACAGTAGGGTTAGGGTTTGAGGAGCGAGGGGTTATATTGTATAGGGATTGTATAGGGAGTATTTTCCCCAACTCCCTACTAGCCCTACTAACCACCACTAGGTAGGTGCGCGCCTAGTAATATAGAAGTCAAGGTTTTCAGCACGACTTCAGAAGGATGGTAATCTCTATAGGGCTTTTTAGGGGTTCCATGGCAGCTTAAGCGTTCTGCCATTTTTTAGACCTCGTTTGTTGGGGGATTCTGGTAGTCTAGGTGTTGTCCTTGACTTAGTGGTGAATGAGTGAATGGATTACGGGAACCATTGGTATCATTGGGGATTATGTGGGAATCTAGTCTTCATGTCCTTCTAAGCCCTAAGCAGTTTTCCCAGCATTGAGCCTCTAGGGTACGCCTCTCAAGTCGGGGCGCGTGGTGTCATCCGGAGTCAGAAGTTTATGACATATTAGGCTTGAAGAGGAGTGTTAAATTTATCAGCATACATTTGCTTACAAAGAAGGCTGTTGGCTTCACCAATGGGGGCCATCCCCAGAAAATGCATGCCTGTCTGGTGCAGCTTTTGGTTTCAAAAGACAAGTGAGCCGAGGCAAAAGCTGCTAACCCTTACGTAAACCATAAAGCCTTGCTTGCAAGGAGATCCCACAACCTTAAGTCACACAGCTTTCCGTATGAAGTGCAGAGTTGCTGTAGCAGGCCTAAGAGATGCGCTCTGAGCGAACTAGGCTCTCCAACCCCCCACACCCTAAAGTTTTAGGGTCTAAGCTCTAAGCGCCTGTGGCAGAGCGGTTAAGAGTTGGCGCTACTCCGTGGCTTAGTGCTCTTTGGCCGCCATGGGAAAGACCTACGACAGCATCTCCGAAGACCAGGCCGCCGGGGCAATTCTGTGGGGTTTAGAGTTGAGGGTTCAGGGTTTAAGGTTTAGGGTTTAGGGCCGCAAAAAAAGGGCTGAATGTTGGCTTTTACAAGAGCAGCCTGCATGGTCATTTTCCATTTTTTGTTATTATAATCTTAATAACAACTAGAATAAAAATTTTAGAGGGATTCTGAGGCCGGTTTAGGTGAATGTTGGCTTCTACTGTGGCATGCCCCACAGAGAATTGGGAACCCCCAAACGGGGCATATCAAGATTACTGTCCTTTCAAGGTGCCCAAACGAGATAGGATTTCTTGTTGATGATTGTATAAGGTTCGTTCACTTGGGGTGTCCGTTTGGGGAGACCACAAGTACATCTACCTTATATGTGGGACCACGTTTGTCTTGAAAAGGTATCCACGTAGCAAAGCATTCTTGGAGGCTCTTTTGACTTACTCAGTCCCCAATAGTCACTTGCATAAGCCCCAGAATCCTCCTTGAACTCTAAACCCTTAACCTTCGACTTACTAAGTCAAGAGGGCCTTCGACTTGCTTCAGGTAACCTGGCTCAAAAAGCAGAAGGTCTTCTTCGTTGCCAGTGCGGCTGCCAAAGGCACCACGAAGGGTAAGGGCCCCTTTCTTGGTCACTGCAGGTGGAGATATCGTCTTCAGTTTTCTTGTGTACTAGAACCGCATCAGAAGTAGAATGCTACAAAGTTTCAATACCGTCCCATGAAGAAAACAGTTTGGGCTCGTGGAATTCTACCTCGGAAGCCTCACTAGTTGTTAGCAGGGAATGGAGGAATGGATCTCTATAGTAGCCCCTATGTATACACCCAAAATACAGTGGCTTCCATGTCCTTTTCCATTGCGTATGAGCTTTAAGTACTAATCCTTACATGACAGCTTCCATGGGCTTTGCCATTCATTCATTCTTTCTGTACTCATAAAAGATGGAGTAAAGCTTTATGAGGTTTGAACAGGTGTTAGAATTTCTGCGAAAGGTTTTGAAGTATTGGAAGGCAATCTTGCTTTGACAGAGTTAAGGAACTAGTGTCTACCTAGACCCCCCAATGTAGTTCCTTTTTTGGTTTGGTATGGTTTTTTGGTTAGGATTCTTATGAGGACTACCAAAAAGGTACTACATTGGAGGGCCTAGGTACGTGTCAGGAGTTACTGGGATCGACGGAAATCCGTGTTTTTACTTGGGCCAATGAGGCCGGGGATTTTGGTACAGGGCTTGGTCAGCTAGCTAACCTTTGCACCCTACACTTCTTGTAACAGCATGGAATCCCATACTGTACTGTCCATAATAGTATAACCCTAAGGAAATATTAAAAATACTGTTTTTTCATAGGTCTACGGAAACTACAGCATAGGGGCCTCTTTCGGAAGACATTAGTCTTTGAATGCCCTCTGCTGGGTCTAGATGAGCTGTGGGAGCGATTCAAGTTGCCAAGTCGCTAGCGCTGGTACGTGGCTTTTGGCTCCTTCCCGGCAGTCCTTGTGAAGTGGCATTTCGTGAGAACTGCAGGGTTTCCTTGCTTTGCCTCATCATGGGGGTTCCGCCCCTAAATCCTGAATGCTAACACCAACAAACTGAAGAAAGCGTTGGCCCAACCCCCCGGACATCCCTCAACATTTCCCCAAATGAGAGGTTCCTTTTGTTGAGGGTCCCAAAGTAAGGGTTATCGTATTTTGGGGTCTATATTGGGGTCCCTTGTTTCAGGAAAATATCATATTCCCTATATGACACAAAGTTTGAGAAGCCCTGCACACGTTTTCAGGCCATGTCAACGTGTCTCCAAAAGGCCGGGCTTTCCCTGCGATTAAGGTTCCGGGTCTAGAATTCAAGGATTCGGGTTCAAGGTTTTAAGTTAAGAGTCTTGAGTTTAGTGTTCCGGATTTAGGGTAGGATTTTTCGCATTGTGATTCGGTGTCTAGGTCTCATTATTCTACGTGCAATGTCCAGGACTGGGCATTTAGGGGTCCAACGTGATAGCGTGCTCGAAGGTTCATGGGCAGTTAAATAGAAGTAAGCGTTTAATTATCTTTCAGAATTATAGTTGTTCAGTTGCTCTACTTATGCCCAACATTCTCTTGCTATCAACTACCATGGAGGATTCAGGGTTTGGATTTTTAGGTTGAGTGGCTCCCTGAATTGCATTACAGGTACCTAAATAGCATGTAATTCGGACCCGGCTTTCATCTGGGCTCAAAGTATAACATCTTGTTTAGATAGGACCCTTGTGGTCCTGTTATGTCCTGTTATTGCACCGCCCCTAAACCCTGAACCCTAAACTATCAGCCGTTGGGTTCCTGGAGGCTACACCGCGGGGACATTTGCCGTTCTCTCGCCCAACAAAGTGGTGCCTTGGTCCTACAGTGCATACCACTCCCCAGCCCCCTAAAGGATTAGGGTTTAGGGTTTAGGGTTTAGACCATCTACTCCCCAGACCCCCTAAAGGATCCAAAAAATGGAACCCCCTTGAAAGGGGTTTATAGGGGTCATATAGGGTTTTATAGGGATAATGGAAAAGAAAATGGAAACTACTATTTTGGGTTTAGGGTTTATACGGCTAAAGGATCAAAAAAATGTAGCCCCCTAATAATCTCCTAGTTTCCCCAATGTAGTAATGGGTTCATATTTGGGGGGTTCCATTTTTTGGATCCTTTAGGGCGTCTGGGTCCCCTGAAGAGAACAGGTTGGATACTGCCCCCGACTTAGTAACAAGCATAATCTGAGTAGATAAAGCCCAAAAACATCAGCCCTCTTATGGACTGTTGCAGGGCTTGGGTAAGAGTAGGGTTTGGGGTTTGGGGTTTAGAGTTCCTTGAGTACTTCCGCCGCAATATTCGACCGTTTAAACAAGTCCTATACAGTCCTAGTTTTGCAGCTTGTTTTCAGATTGCGGCGGCATCCAACCTGAACCCCTAAGATTTGCCAGCAAAAGCCTGCGAAGAAACAGCCATCAAAACTACATATTTTGAGGTGAGAGAACCCAACCAGGAATCAGTCAGGCTGATCACGAGTTTGTAAAGCCTTCGTTTCGATGGCAAGGCGGCTTTGATCACTCCAACCCCCCAAAGTTGGGACCCTATTATTGCGATATGATGGTTCTAGGGTTTTCTGTCGGAGGATACCTCTTTTTTTTATAGGTATATAGACTTTGAACCGTAGGGCCGACGGCAACGGGATTCTTAAGGGCGGAGATACAAGGATGGCTTCAACAACCACAGGTAGAAGCCTAAAACACTACCAAGTCAGGTTTAGGGGTTTAGGGTTTCGGGCTTAAGGCTTAAGGTTTAGGGTTCAAGATTTAGGGATAGAATAATGGAGCATGAAATGGAAAGGAACATGCAAAGTGAATGGCATGCAGATTGGGGGTTAATGTGGGACCCTATATGGATGATACCAAACATCATGGTCCTAGATCTGTTGTAAAGGGTTTTGGGTCTAGGGAATAGGGTACCTCACATAGACCTCGAAATGATATTGGTAAGACTTTTGGCCCCTACCTTTGAGGGATCTGGGACAAGCAAGCCAATCTCCAAATCCTAAACCCCACAACTGAAGGGAATCTGCTACCCTAACGCACTGGTTGAGGAACTAAGGACAGTACCGTAAGGTATCTTTGGGAGCATGGCTTTTGGAGAGAAGGTCCCATAAAATAAGTCCACCGTTTTTACCCTAGACGGGTAGACTTTTTAACGTTGAGTCTCTGATCCCCACTACAGCGTAAGATGAGATGTTCCTGATAAGAACATAATCTTACATCATCTTACTTGCCCCAAGCACCATATGGTAATTTCCTATAATAAGGGGACCCTAATATAGACCCCAATATACTATAATCCTTATTATTGGGACCCCGAGAAGGTACCCCTAATTTTGGGAAACCCTAAACCCTAAACCCTAAACCCCATATAACCCCTAGATAACCCTATAGAATCCCTATAACCCCCTTTAAGGTACCCCTAATAAAGCCAACCCAAATTCAGTATAATCTCAACTCAGGGGTTTCGTGCTGTGATATTGCGGTGGGGGCCCTGCTTTGGGGTGTGGTTCAGGGTTTAGGGTTTAGGGTTTAGAGTTTAGGGTTTAGGGTTTAGGGGTAACTTTTAAGGGATTCAGCCCACTCAACAGCTCCAAGTGTCCAAACCTTTTGACCCTTGACCCCTACGTCCCTTCAAAACTGTGATCTAGAGTTCGAAGCCCTACACCCTAATCCTTCAACCCTAAACCTTAAATCCTACGAAGTCCATCCTACCCTTCTTCGAAGCCCTAAACCTAAAAACCTAGGTACGTGAATCCCTCAGTCCTGACCTCCATGCGGTGGTAGGGCTCAGGGTTTAAGGTTTAGGGTGCTGGTTCGTGATAAGCTGTGTTTTTCTATTAGCTATTGCTGTGCCTAAAGCCCTAATCCTTAAACTATGAAGTTCGAATTCTTTAGTACGTTCCCAATAAGAAACCAATCAACTCTGGGACCTGCCAAGCCCCTACCCTCCCCCACCCCAACATGGAAAACCATGTCTATGTAGGCCCCCCGGTTGGGGTTCCATGTCAGTTTGGGGGCGAGGTCACAAATCCCTTAACATCTAGAATTGCGAGCCCCAAAATTTCATGTGGGCTATAGTCTAAACTCCTAGTATCCACCTCAATAAGCCCTATAATACTCCGCTACAGAATCCCTTCTATGACCCCCCTTTAAGGAGTTTAGAGTATAGCTATTTTGCATCCCCAGTTTCCATGGGTTTTTCCATCCGTTTCTCCGTTCTCTACTAGCCGCTAAACCTTAGACAGCCCCTGAACCCTAGACCCTAAACCCTAAATCCCAAACTCCAAACCTAAACCCCAAACTCCAAACCCATAAATCCCAAACCCTAAAACCATAAACTCCCAACCCCAAACCTTATATATCCTGGTATAACCCCTATATAACTCCAACCCCAAACCCTAAACCCTAAACCCTGACCCCCAAACCCTAAACCCTAAACCCCAAAAGCACCTGCGACCTCTAAGGCTTACCTGGACTTCACTGGAAGCGGCGCGGAGACCATCGCCCACTCTCTGCAGCTGCATGGGCTGAAATTCTTTTCTGGGGGGTGGTTAGGGATTCCCTGTAGGGTTCAAGGTTTAGGGCTGAAGGTTTCAGGGTTCAGGGCTTTGGGTTTAGGAGTTGTATACGAGGTTGAGTCACTTCTTTTTTGACAAACAATCATCGTACTAAGAGAAATTGTATACTATGATTCTGAATAAGAATGATACTACTAACAGCAAAAAGAACGAACATTCCAGTCATGAGAGCTTTTGCGTTGTTTGGAGGGATTTTTTCGAATAATGAGTCTCCCTGAGTATACATCTCAGAAAATGTAACTTTTATCAATTATCGGGACCCTTCAGGGGTGAATCTTCTTCATTTTTATCTATGTTCAACATCATCCTTATCCCAAATTTCGACCGCCACAAGGAAGATTGATCCTGTCCCCATTCCCACTTCCCTGCTTCGCAATCAAGTCATGCAACCCGGGTCCACTGGAGAACATCTGTATGATTGGGAGGGTCATCTGTAGGATCCTTGTGATATCGTTCTTGTGGCCGAAGTGGTTGCAACAGATATGGAGGGATTTCTAAGTTGTAGGCGCAGAGGAATCGGCAGGAATTGAGCGGGTATCTGTATGATTAATCATGCCATTGGCTTTATCGTTTCTGGAAGGGGCTCTAGCATCTGTTTGTTTGTTCCTTGAAGTTTCCATACCCACATGCTAAGACTCCCAAATCTGACAAGTCTGGAGGCCATCCAGCCCAAACCCTAAATCCGTCAATTCTATAGAGCTTGAGACAAACCGCATGCCCCCCGGTAAGAACCTGATGAGGAACGACCGCATAACGATCATGTTCGTGGCGTTTGAGGGCGATCCCATCATCATGAGGTGGGGAAGCTGTTCCAAGGTCACAAAAGGAAAGTTGAAGGCGGATGGGTTTCCTGTTCTGAAATTCCTGTCTTGGGGAAGTGCTAGAAGTGGCGGTTCAGCATATGTAGCCCTTGTTTCAGGAGATGCCCCCAATGGTATCCAGGGTCCTCGAGAGTTCGGTTTGGGGATCAGGGATAAGAGCTTCGCGCTCCACGCTTAGGGTTTAGGGTTTAGGGTTTAGGGTTTAGGGTTTGGGGGTTTAGGGTTTGGGGGTTTAGGGGTTTAGGGGTTTAGGGATTAGGGTTTAGGGTTTAGTCTGCGAAGCTCAGGGTTTCAGATGAGGA